GAAAAGATATGAAATAGAAAGAGATTACATTAGAATGTAGCTGAGTGTAATGGATATTCTCCTTCACTAGTTGATAAATTAATTAGAAAACAGGTATAGGTTAATGATTTCTGAAAATTCGACTTTTCAAGTGGAGAAAGATACGTCTAAATATTTTTCGATACCGTTTGATAGAGAGTTATCCCGTGGTCTAAAAGGAATTTTTAAGAATGTCAATTATAAACTTGTGTATAGTGCTAATAATAAATTACAACAATTATTAGGTAATCCAAACTGGAAAGGTCGGGTATTTATGAAATTTCTTGTAAAGATTGTAATCAGAAATATGTTGGGCAAACTAGAAGATCAATATTAACTAGATTTAAAGAACATTTAGCTCAGATAAGATATGGTAGACCGGATAAATCTTGCGTTGCCGAACATATTGTTGATAAAGAACATTGTATAGATCTTAATAATTTAAAATTAATTAAACAAGTCTCAAATTACAGGCAATTAGATGCATATGAAAGCATCAGAATTAATAAATGTAAAGATAGTATGAACAGAGAGACAACGGTCCAATTCCTTCAAGTTCTTTGTTCCTACTACTCTAGTGGCGGAAATCTAACTGTTACGCTCAGTTGGTTCTGACTCGGTTGGCTAGTTTTTGCCACGCCCACTCGGTGCCCACTGGGCGAGTATATAAACGCTCAACTTGTAGATTGTACTTTAGTTTATAATCATCTGCTGATGATGCTAACATGGTTAGCGAAACGCGCGTCCAGTGTAAAAGTAAAAGTGTTTTGGTGTATTGTGGTGATTTAGTGTTTTTATTTTGCTGTTTAACACCAAAGGTTCCAACCCTCAACTGTAATCTTAGATGGTTATTTTACAAAAATTTTAAAAATTAACAAGGCTAGATAGAACCATTATTAGAGACCGAGCGATTAAACAGCTTCGGCCACATTCGGCCATTATTTAAGCCTTCGGCTAAAATTCGGCTTCGGCGGTATATAAACTTAAGCGGAAATTTTTTACCAAAGATGAAAGTTTAGTTTGAATGTTGAGCTTGAAGTTTGAAGCATTTATTTTGCCATATATAATATCTTTTAGAATATTTCTTAAGTTAATTATTATAATTTGAAATATTTTTTTTTGTATTATGTTACATAATATTCAAAACAATGCTTCTCTTTTCGACTTTCTTTCATTTATCCTATCATATTTTTTTTCTAATTTAAATTTACCACTTTATAAAAATAACTTCGGTTTCGGCCAAAAAAATCACATTCATTCTGTCTTTAATCATTTGTAAAAACTAATGTCGGGTCCAGACCAAGGCGACAAAAAATAAACACGATTTTGAGACAAAAACAAGACAAACTTGTCACAAAAAATAGAGACTTCTAACAAGACAAACTTGAGACAAATTGTTCACACTGCAATGACAAAAGTACAACAAAGTCAAAAGTTTAGTTGCGAATGAGTTTTATTAACCATGTGTGATTTCACTGGTCTCCTACTGTTGGCAGCACACGCCATCCACACTGCGCCGACAACTTGTCGCAAAATATACGAACAAAACATAGACACTTTGATCTTTGCCGACTCGAGACGGGACATTGAAAAGTCTCCGATTTTTGAAACAACAAAAATGAGACAAAAATGTCGCAGAAATGTATTGGATTTTGGATTTGTAGAGCAACTATTTTTACAAAAGAAAAAAGGCAGAGTTCTCGAACTTGTATTTTGTAAACAAATCTTTTAAATTTGAACTGCTCACAGATTATTCAGTATCAGTTTATGAAAAAGTGTCGTGTTTAAATAAATCAATTTCATAATCAGAATTACGGAAATTCCCAGTTAAAGAAGAACAAAATGCATTTTAAATAAAAAAAAATGAATTGATGAAAAAGATGAAATGAGTGAGAAATTAAAATGACCCGTGTTTAATTAATTATCCTGAATATTATCAAAAATTAATAATTAAATGGAAACAAGTATGTAATAAGTTTCCAGACAAATCAATTTTCGAAAAAATATTTTTAACTGAATGATTTTTTTAAAACAAAATGAAACCGAAACCCCATTTCGGCTTCAGTCACAGTTTCGGCCGAAACCGAAACTTTCATAAAAAGTTATTTTTTAGTAGTAAAATTAAAGATAACTTTATTATAATGATAAAATCTTTAAAACGCATATTAATTGAATTATCAACTTATATTATCACCCCTGATTTCAAAATGCGCAAATACTAATACTATTTTTTTTTAAATATTTTAACTTGAAATAAAACAAAAAACGTATGAACAAATATTTTCCTATGCTTTATTTACTTTATATAGCACTCTTGTTAATATACTGCAGATAAAATTAAGAAATACCTATAGTTCATATCTAATAAACTTTTAGTAACGTAATTAAGCTTGACCGGCATAGCGTTGCGCCCTTTTTCATATTTTCTTTGAATCAAAATATTTTAGGAAACAAAAATAAATTAATTATAAATATATAAACAGTTATTATTTACATCAACAAAACTCACCTTCTTAACAGCGCTTAAGGGACATAAAGGGCCATTACTACCGCTTTCCCGTTCAAAATATTCTAATAAAGTTGCGATGTGTTTGTTACGGCTATTAAGCTATCTTGTACACTACGCACTAAGAGTTTCTAAGAACAATGTTCGCCTGCAAGGTCTACTAGTAAAAATGTTTAAGCTTAAAATATCACAACACATTTAAACCAAAAACTCGTAATACAAAATTAAAGTGTCAAAACAAATGACCATGTCTGGAAATCTTTGAATAAGAAGACTAAGGAAGGAGCATAATGCTATCCATGTATTCATGCATGGTGGGCGGAAAAAGGACTCTAGGGTGGCGATCCTTGATAGTTCTGTTCATTGCCTGGAAACTTATATGGTGAAATTTTGATAAAATAATTTAGTACTCAGTAAAAACACGGTATGTCGTTAGTGGTAGGAAAAATAATTTTTAGAGGTTAATAGCTTATTTGGTTGCCTGTGATATGCATATACAGGGTGTTTCCTAATTAATCTAAAAAATAAAAAATCGTTAGAAAACTGCTTAAGGCGGGCTCTTGATAAGTATATTTATTTTTTTCTCGGCAACTGTAGATCAGAAAGGAAGTACTTTAGACCTAATGGTTATATAAAAATTCTTTTAAGCACACATGAGGAATCACACCACAATTTTTTAGACTAATTAGAAACACCCTGTATTGTCAACTTGACAATGATTGTTAATAAATCAAAAAATACCTTTTCTGTGAAAAAAGCCCGATTTTCGCAGGAAAAATTTTGGTTTTTATTGAATTTGGGCCTGCCTCTGCAAATACCGGTATGTTTTTTAATATTCTATCTATCTAAATTTTAAATATCATAGTCAGAAATAGTTTTATTATTTATTAACTGTAAAAATAGTATACTTATAAGTTTTATCAAATATTGTGATTTACTTTCTACCTTGTAGTCAAAATTTATATTTAATAAACTGTAAAATATATATATTCTTATGTTTTATTAAAGTTACTCTGATATACTAATATATCAGTGTAACTTTAAAACTAAATCCTTTGAAATCAAATATAAACATAAAAAATATTTACAGCAGAAAAGGCGAAGGCGCTGGGTTAAACGTAGTCTCTACTAAGAACACGGAGGTTTGACTCAAAATTTTACTATTAAGTTTCATATCTATCTTAATAGAAGATTATTTTCTTTTATCTATGGTTCTGTTTGACGATTCATTTGAATTTGATTTGAAATTTTGTGGATTTGTCAGTCTTTACGGAGCTTATTTTATGTTATTTATTATTTATTCTACTACTGATAGTTGTATAAAGGTAGTAAATCTAGATGGAAATTGTGGCAGAACTTAAATTAACAGTGACACTATCGCGATTTATCGAAAAAGACTCTAAAATAGTTGGTTGTGTAGCGTGCGGTAGATCTCGGCAAAAATCGAGTGATATAATGGAACACCTTTTCGCTAGTAAGTGATTATATAATATACATACGTGTAGTAAACCGGTCGTTTATGAAATTCACTTAAATTAACTAATTATATATTTTTTCTTGCATTTTTGCTTTTATTTACTACTTGTCAAAGATTAGATGTCAAAGAATTTAGATACGTCAATTTGACTTACCTGCTTCAGTAGCGTATCGGATGTCGGATGTTTGTGTTAATAAATAATTATTATAACTTATCTATTTTTATTAGAATTATATATTTTTATAACAATTTTAATAACTACCAACATTTATTCATAACGTAAAACAAAAAAAAAATATTGAGTCTACCCCACGTCTACCCTACATCATAGTTTTACATTTTTTAAATAAAATTAGAACGGCACAATGATAAACCGGAATTTAAGTCGGCCATATTTGAGTCCCATCGCGGTGGACCTAAGATTTTTGATATGCTCCTTTCTTGGTCTTCTTATTCACAGCTGGAAATAAATAAATAAATGTGGCAACTTGACGTTTTTTACAGCAGAGCTACGACCTGAATCTCAAGAGGGAAATTTAAATTCCAGTTAGTTAGCCCGGCGCCGAATATATCCATGGTTAGCAACAATGAATTTAAAAATCGCGCCCTCGATTACGTTACTAAAAGTTTAATTGGTATCGAATATATCTACTAAAATTACAACAATTAAATAATTTTTAATATAAATAATATTTGAATTAAATCATGATAAAAATAATTTTGTTACAAACTAAAAAAATCCTGAAAAAAGAGCTTGATTGAGCTATAACTATGAATAATTTTCATTATCTAATAATTATTAATATTCATAATTAAACAATCTAATATTATAAATACATTATAAGCATTTCCGGACACAGCGCAAAACTTCCTCAGGCGAAACCCGTTATTCTTGCCGAAACCGAAATTTCGGTCGGACACTATCATTTGACATAAATTCATTCAAATTGCTTCTTTTTACTCCTATAATATACTAAATCTATTTTTTTTTTGTTACAGTCTTTACTTAGTGACCCTAATCCAAATTCACCAGCAAATTCAATGGCGGCGCAGCTGTACAAAGAAAATCGACGAGAATACGAAAAACGAGTAAAAGCATGCGTCGAGCAAAGCTTCATTGATTAGTTTCTAGCCAAGACACAAGAGATTAATGCTTTAAAAAAATAAGGGCTACACAAATTTATCTATGTTTGCAGAGCCGTTTCTAGATTGGACTTTTTTGTGGTTGAAAAAATTCTTACCTTAGAAAATTCTAGGACTTATTTCTATTTAATTTGGCGTTTTTATATAATATACTTACTTTGATATGCTATGGGCTACTATTGGTTAACTAACTAAACTGTGTTTTTTGGTATTTCCAACATATTTTATTTTAATACTGTTTATGATCAGGATCTAAATGGTACAGTGCCTTGTTTGAAATAGCTAAATTTTCCAAAATATATTTCAATTGTAAGGAATTAAAATGTTTTCGTATTTTTCATCAAGCCCATAAATATTTATTAAAATAATTTATGCTCGAAAAGTAATGTTTTTTTGAATATTTTTTTCTTTGTTGTTTTTAGTTTATGTATACTTCAGAAGTTTTGGCCATTTTACACTTCCGTACTGCCTACCCTTCATTAGTAGTTATGTGTTATATAATAAATTACTATACTTAATAAATTATTACAATTATTAAAGAATCTTTTTATTTATAAATATCGTGTTATACATCTTAGAAAAGTACACGTAAATTAATATTTAATCACATATTATACAATCCAAGTCATCTTGGTCAACATTAATTACTAAATCATCATTTTCTTCAAGCACTTGGTTGTTTTGGTCAGCCTTTTCTTTCACAACTATGTCTTCCAATATTTTAATATTTTGATGTACAGCCATTTCCTTCTTATAGCTTTCCAATTTATTTTTCAAATGACGTAATTTCTTTTCTTTTGACTCATTTTTAGTTGTCTCGTCATTAGATTGACTATCATCGTCATTATTAATACTACTGACTACATCTGTGTTAGAAACGTCGTCATCGTCTTTATAACATTCACATTTTATTTTACTAGTTTTCTCGCATTGTTTTGTTTCTTCACTTTCTGGTACCTAAAACAATAACAAATAAAAAAGTATTTATATTTATCACTAGTGTTTAATATTAATAATTATTATGTAATATAATTTTGATATTATTTGTGGTTCGAATTTTATCAGGCAAATTTTAAGAGATAACCACTATACTCCTACTGGAAAGGTTTATGTTTGGGTCGAGTTTTCCGTATGTAAGAAGAGTACAATGCATTTATAATGTACTGAACAAAGAGAAAACAGTAAAAACGTTGCCAAACGTATGAAATAAACCGAGTAACTGTGCACATTGCTAAGAGACGTGGAAGGCAGTTTCACGATTTAATTACGTATCTATTAACGAATTGTTGTAATTTCCTTATAGCTTTTAAAATACAAGTTAAACGTAAAAAGAAATTAAAATAACGACTCTAAAATGCTCAAACGTTGACCACTTTTGGTAAAAATACGTTGAACTAAGTTGGTGTTAGACAGCGATCGCGCTATTAGAATTAAAAAATCAATATCTCGAAATCCATTAGAAATAATTGATTGTTTTTTTTAACGTTTTTGTTATATTTTCTTCGCAGACAGTATGTGAAAATTTTTACAAATAAAAAAGTCACACAATTGTGAAAATTGCTATGCACTAAAAGTAAATGGACACGTTTTTTAATTGTTTTGAACGGAAAAGAAACAAACCTGTCGAATTTTTCTCATTTAAACGTCTTGTCAAAGATCCGAACTTAAATAAAAAATGAAAGTTTCAATGTCCAAGTAGTTTTTGATTTATCGCGTGTTATGTGTTAGAAGTTGTTTCCAAATTACCACACGATTACTGACGTAGTTAAAAAATTGGTCAAGTGCGAGTCAGACTCGCGCACGAAGGGTTTGGTACCTTGGTAGGGTTTTGGTTTGAATGCGCGTATAAGTAATTTAAAAAAAATGAAGAAACACATTACTAAAAATTTTATTAATCAATAATAAATATGTAAAAAGTAAAAATAAATATGTAAAAATATGTAATAATTAAAAAAAAACGATTAAAAAAAGTCGCCTTAACTAGGATTCGAACCTGGCTTACTACGGCTCCAACGTCATAGCAGCGTACAGTCGTAACGCTTTAACCACTCGGCCACCGAGGACTTGAAAGATTCTATGTAAAATTCTTACTTAAAAGATTATGTTTAGTGAAAGTACTTTTTATTTATAAACATTTATTTAATTCTGTTTTTAGTATATGTTCTTATAGCGGCAACATAGATACATTATCTGTAAAAATTTCAACTGTCTAGCTATAACGGTTCATAAGATAGACCTTTGTGACAGACGGATAGACGGAAAGTCTTAGTGATATGGTTCCCGTTTTTACTCTTTGGGAACGGAACCCTAAAAAAGAATGGTCACCCTAATGATATTCTATAACTCGTTTTCATATGTCCAGAAACACATCTACTGATTTTATGTACATAGTTATCTTTCTGGAAAAAAATAATTAAAAATAAGCGCCTTTGAACCGCGATTTGACTACTAGACAGGGAAAGGCGTACTTGTATCACAGAGAAACATAAATTCCACACATGTAAATGCCGACCCAAAAGTATGAGTTGCCAGCTCAGTATATATACAGTAGAAATTATTAAAAGAATAGGGTAAAATGTGTGGTTAACATTTTAAATAATTTTATTACTTGTGTATCACCGTTACTGGAAGTTGGCATGTCTTCACCATCTTTAATTAGTTTAGTATTGTCACTGGGAATATTACTTTCACTAGAGACGGCCATTATTTCTTCCTGACTATCATCTTTTCCCGCATTAATATCAATGACATCCTTTAAATTTTTCGGCTCACTACTTGCACTCTCTACTAATAGTTCTTCGGTATTTTCTATTTCTCGAGGTCTATTATCCAATTCTTGTACATTGTGTTCTGTAGAAATTAAAATATTACATTAAGTGAAAGAACTAAAATACAGGGGTAAAAAATGGTGTACCAAACTTCTACTACATAACCTAATAATTGTTGTAATTTATTATTAGCACTATAAAACAAGTTTATAATTGACATTCTTAAAAATTATTTTTAAGCCATGGGATAACTCTGAAAATTGAAATTTGATAAATAATAAATTACAATTATTATTAGGTAATCCTAAAGATAAAACATCTCCACTGGAAAGGTCGGGTAATTATGAAATTTAATGTAAAGATTGCAATCAGAAATATGTCGGGCAAACTAGAACAATATTAATTAGATTTAACAGATGGCTCAGATAAGATATGGTAGACCGGATAAATTTTGCGTTGCTCAACATATTGTTACGAATTCCGTGGGTCCACTATTTAAACTCACGATAAAATACTTAACGAATTTATTTGTTTCACTCTGTACACAACTTATACTATTTACAACACAACTTATGCAACTACTATTACTCTAACGGTATTTCGCGGTATTTTCAAACTTCAGACTTAGACTTCAAACTTCAAACTTGTCCAACTGTCAAAGCGCGGGCCTTATATACCCCCTGGCGGTTGTTTCTAGATTTTTCTAAAGAATTCTATAATTTTCTTTACTTTCTGGCGAATGCGCCAGGATTTTTAGCAGTATGCAGTTATGCAACCAGGAATACACCTTGACATTGCCCCCTTCTCAAATTTGATCGTCCCGATCAAGGTTTCCTGTCTGGTATCTCTTCAATCGATCCAGATGAACTACTTTCATCTTACTTCTAGGGCTGCGTTGAATCCGGTACACAACATCATTTATCCTCTTGATGACTGTATAAGGACCTTCCCATGCTGGAGTTAACTTTGGGGACCTCCCTTTCTTGCGCTGTGGGTTATATAACCATACCATATCGTCCTGTTGAAATCCCGTAGAATTAGCTCTGAGGTCGTAACGAGCTTTCATCCGGTCACTGGCTAGCGTAATCTTACTTCTCACGGCCTTATGAATTCCCAATAACCTTTCCTTCAGTTCATCCGCGTAGTCCTCTACGTTCGTGGTGCTGTCGTCTGGTGATCCGAACACCAAGTCACAAGGCAACCGTAATTCTCGACCAAATAAAATCTTCGATGGTGAAAGTCCGGTGGTGTTGTGAACTGCACTTCTATATGCCATTAGGAATAGTGGTATATGCTGATCCCAATCTCTTTGATGTTCATCCACCATTTTCGAGAGATGTTCTTCAATGGTCTTATTGAATCTCTCGACCATCCCATCAGACTGCGGATGTAAAGCTGTTGTCCTAGTCTTGTGAATACCAAGCAGATCACACATCTTCTGGAACAGTCTTGACTCGAAGTTCCTTCCTTGGTCAGTGTGAAGCTCTAAAGGAATTCCAAATCTACTGAAGACATTATTGACTATACTTCAGCTACAGTCGATGCTTCTTGGTTTGGAATGGCAAAAACTTCTGGCCATTTACTGAAATAATCCATCGCCACTAAAACGTACTTGTTGCCCTTGTGCGTTTCAGGGAATGGGCCTGCAATGTCAACAGCGATTCTTTCGAATGGCAGTCCAACGTTATATTGTTTCATTTTTCCCCTAGATCGAGTGCTTGGTCCTTGGCTGGCTGCACAAATTTTCATTGTCGACACCATTTCTTGACATCTTCGCAATAATCCACCCAGTAAAAACGATCTCTCAGCTTGCTCAAGGTCTTGTTTACCCCAAGATGGGCTCCAGTTTTACCACCGTGAATTTCTTCCAATACCTGGGTAACTTTCTTCCTTGGTACCAGTAACTGAGTTGTTACTGTCCTGCCATCCGCACTTTCCCACATGCGCTTTAACAATCCATTCTCAATAACCAGTGAATTCCACTGAGCCCAGAGAGCTTTGAAAACTAGCCCTCTGTCCGCAATATCCTGCCACGGTGGTCTCTCGCCGTTACCTTCCTTGAGCCCTAGTATTGCTCCGATGTCTGGATCTTCCATTTGGTCTTTCCTCAACTGTGCCGTCGTCCACTGTTCATCAGCTCCAAGCTTAAAACTCCTTATCATGACAGTGCCTTCACGTTGTTCCGTTTTACAGCAGTGCTTACAATCGGTTTGACAGGGTCTTCTGGATAAACCGTCTGCGTTACCATGCATCTTCCCAGCACGATGTTGGATGGTAAAGTGATACTGCTGGAGCTTCTCGAGCCATCGTGCTATTTGGCCTTCAGGTTGTTTCATCTCCATAAGCCATTTGAGAGCCGCATGATCTGTCCTAATTAAAATTCTTGGCCATACAGATATTTATGGAAATGATCAACTGCTTTTACAATTGCTAGCAGCTCCTTCCGGGTAACGCAGTAATTCCTTTCTGGTTTGGATAGAACTCGACTGTAATATTCTATCACTCGTTCTTCGCCATCTTGCACTTGTGATAGCACTGCACCGATGCCGATGTTGCTGGCGTCGGTATCCAGGATATACCTCCCTTGTTGTTGTGGGTAGGCTAAAATAGGACTTGAACATAAAGCCGCTTTAAGTCTTTCAAAGGCTACATCACAATCGGTGTTCCATTCGTAGCCGACTTCATCACCTGTAAGTTTATGTAAAGGTGCAGCTATGTTGGCAAATCCCTTGACAAATCTTCTGTAATATGTGCATAAACCCAGAAAACTTCTAAGTTCATGTTTGTCGCGAGGTTTAGGCCAATCCTTGATTGCAGCGATTTTCTTCTGGTCGGTGTAAATTCCGTCTGCTGAGACTACATGACCCAAGAATTCCACTTGTCGCTGGAATAAACTACACTTCTTCGGGTTCAAGTACAGGTGAGCATTCCGTATGCGGCCGAAGACATCTTCTAAATTTCGCAAATGCTCTTCAAAAGTTCTTCCCATAACCAATACATCGTCGAGGTAAACCAAGCACGTTTTCCAAGTTAATCCTCTTAACACCACCTCCATGAGACGTTCGAAAGTGGCTGGAGCATTGCATTATCCAAACGGCATGACCTTGAATTGGTATAGTCCGTTTCCTGTAGAAAAAGCCGTCTTTTCTTTGTCTTCCTCGTCCAGACCAACTTGCCAGTATCCACTCTTTAAGTCGAGAGTGGAGAACCAGCACGAACCTGCCAGTGTGGTTAACGTGTCGTCTATACGTGGCGGTGGGTAGCTGTCCTTCTTAGTGACGTCATGGAGCTTCCGATAGTCCACGCAGAATCGTGTACTACCATCTTTCTTCGTCACCAAAACAACAGGAGATGACCATGGACTCGATGATTCTTCGATAACTCCATCTTCTAGCATCTTATCTACCATTGTCTCCATTTCTTGTTGTTTGGAAAGGGGCACCCTTCTAGGACGTTGTCGAATCGGCTGAGCATGACCAGTATTAATCCGGTGCTTCACAAAATCCGTTCTTCCACTGTTGTTCTTCTCAAAAATACTGCCATGCTTTAGCAGGAACTGCTTGGCCTTCTGTTTCTCCTCAGGTATTAGGTGATCCCATGGCTGTTCTAGATGTTTTAGTGTTTCTTGGGATGCCTTTTGTGTAACAGCTGACGACACTTCATCACATCGGGTGACACTTCTTACAGGTTCGCAGATGGCTATCTTGTCACCTTTTTGAATCTTGACACAATTCGGGAAAACATTCGCAATTCTGATCGGTATATTCTTGTCAGTGTTCACCAACGACTTTCCTACTAAGTACCTATCTTGTTTGTTGTCGCTACTTTGTACCAGTCCAACACAGCACCCAGCGATTTTCTCCACTTTACCGAATACGATCTTCTCGGTATTACCAGGTATCACCACAGTTTCCGCTGATCTTACATCCATTCTGCCTGGTCCCTCGTCTGGAGATAACATGAACTCTTCATTTCCAATATTTAAGATATTTCTCTGGTGATCGAACGAAAATCCATGTTGACGAATCACATCCATGCCCAAGATGAAGTCATCTTCAATATCTGCCACTAAGACGCTATGCTGAAACTTCAAATTTCCTAACTTCAGTTCGACTATAGCCTCTCCCGGTAAACGGCCATTTCCCCCGTAACTGTACGTAAACACACTCTTCTTCCCAGAGGCATCAGCTTCAATTCTTGCACTGAGTTAGCCCGCACCAACGATACCATAGCGCCAGTGTCCACTGTCATTCGGATTCTCCTACCATTGACCTTCCCGTCGATCACTAAACTGTCAGCGGTTCTTCCCAGACTCCTAATGGAAAAAATCCTGGGGGCTCTGTTCTCCCCAGTCAATACTCGCCCCTTAGTATTGACTGATTTTAGTTTTCCTGGTGCCTACGTTCTCTGGATGGTGAACGGGATCGCATTTGAACGCGGCAATCCCGTTTGATGTGGCCATTCCTGCCACATCTAAAGCACCTTATGTCCTGTGATCTTCTATAGCTCTCTGTCTGGGTGTTGTTGCTACTCTTGTTCACTAGTAACTCACATAGTTTACTAAACATCTCCTCCAAACGTATGTGAGAACTTCCGGGCTGTTCCTCAACCGTTACCGATCTTATCTTCGGTCTAGGGATGGCGCTAAATGCAGCTTCGATTTCCAGCGCCCTGACCAGTGCTTCGCTGCTGGTAGAAAATCGGGATATTTGCAGCGCCCTCTGTAATTCGTTGTCCCTCAGTCCGCTGATAAAGCACTGAGCAGCGAGTTCCTCCCTAAATCCTTCCGGTGCTTCAGGATACGCTAGGTGTACCAGCCGACGTAAGTCTGCTTCAAATTCCTGCAGACTCTCTCCGGACCTCTGCAGGCGTGTCTTGATCTGAGCCTGGTAAAGTTGGCTTCGATGTTGGTCGCCATATCTTCTGTCCAGTGCAGCGACCAAAGTTTGGTATTCCTGCTGTTGGGCTGCAGGAATAGTTTGCAACAGTTCCAGGGCAGGGCCACGCAGCGCGATGACAAGTGCCGCTGCTTTCTCCTGGTCGGTCCATCCGTTGGCAGCGGCGGCTGCTTCAAACTGGCGGTGGTACATAGTCCAGGTGGTTTGTCCATCATAGGTTGGGGCCTTGAGGTTCGCAGTTCCATGAACGCCACTTGTACCTTGGTCTTCTGTAGGTCCATCTCCAATTTTTCCATTTTCTGCTGAAGGCGTTCCTCCAGATCTTCTACAACTTCTTGGAAATGGTTCTCCTGTCGTTTTTCCAGGTCTTCAAAATTCTTCTGTAGTCGAAATTCCTGATTTTCTAAAGTTTTCTTAAGACGGTCCTGATCTTCTTGTCTTTCTTTTTGGCGGCGCGTTTCTATATCTTCTAAAATTTCCCTCCATTCATTCTTCTGACGACTTTCTAAATTGCCTAAAATTTTCTCAAGCCGGTCCTGTTCTTCTTCTTTGTCTTGTTGTCGTTGAACTTTCAAATCTTCGAAAATGTTCTCAAGCCGGTCCTGTTCTTGTTGACGTCGTAGTTTTTCCTCTTCCTTTTCTCTTTCTAATCGGGCTCGCTCTTCTTCTCGTTCTTTACGGAGTCTTTCTTGTTCTTCTGCTTTCTCCTTCTCATATTCTCCATAAAATCGCCTAATAGTTTGCTTACTTCCTCCATTTTCTTCGCTTGTTCCCTTGTACCAACCATAAAATACTCTAATCCGGTCTAAAAAATCTTCCAATCCACTTAATTCTTCTTAAAATCTTCTTGAATCGCACTTCCGACACCAATTGTTACGAATTCCGTGGGTCCACTATTTAAACTCACGATAAAATACTTAACGAATTTATTTGTTTCACTCTGTACACAACTTATACTATTTACAACACAACTTATGCAACTACTATTACTCTAACGGTATTTCGCGGTATTTTCAACTTCAGACTTAGACTTCAAACTTGTCCAACTGTCAAAGCGCGGGCCTTATATACCCCCTGGCGGTTGTTTCTAGATTTTTCTAAAGAATTCTATAATTTTCTTTTTAGCAGTATGGATTTTTTAATAGATTTTTAGCAGTATGCAGTTATGCAACCAGGAATACACCTTGACAATATTTTTGATAAAAAACATTGTATAGATATTAATACTTTAAAATTAATTAAACTAGTCTCAAGTTACACGCAATTAGATGCTTATGAGAGCGTCAAAATTAATAAATGTAAAGAGAGTATGAACAGAGACCACGGTGCAATTCCTTCCAGTTCCCTGTTCCTACTGCTCTAGTTTCGGTATTTAATTTTTACGCTCCGTTGACTTTGTCTCGCTTGGCAAATTAAATGCGCTTGCTCAAATCGCCACACGAGTCATAGCGAGTTGCCAGCGCGGCGACGGCGAGGATATCGTCTATGCATTCAAAATTGATATCGTTCGCTTCGCCGAAAGTTCGCTGGCGGTGCGACTGGGAGATTTTTCAACGCCTCGCCGGCGAATGACTATGAATACGGGTGTTAGTGTTTTATTTTGCTCTACTACTACAGACAAAAATAAAACAGGAAGTAAATACTCGTAGATCGGAATATTTTTGCACATCTGTTTCACAATGTCTGTTTTCAGTATGGTGACATTTTATCTAATATGCCCCTTTATCTATAAAATTTTGATATAAAACAGTCTACTAATATATCTAAAACTAGCCGTTTATTGGAAAGACAAATATTTATTTTTGGAGCCAAATACTGCCTGTCAAAGAAAAGTCATATACCTAAACATCAAATTAGTTATATGTGCAGACCAGAAATATAGAGGTAGAGAAAATGAGCAAAGTCAGCTCGTCGAAAAGTTGGCAGTTCGATTTACGTTCAACGGAGTTAGAGATGGGTAATGTTTAAAGCCCCGTTTTCAGAACTACATTCTGTCGCTGGCGACACTGTTTGACACATCAAACAATCAATGAGAGCTGTGCTGACTAATTTAAAACTGACATTGGTTCTTTGAAGTGTCAATCAGTGTCGCTGGCGACAGTACGAAGTTCTGAGACCGGTGCTGAAGTCGGCAGTTCGCGACGTTATGCAGATGGAACGGCAGCCAATAGGTAAGCGCCTGTCGGATCACGTGAAGCATGGAAAAGAGAGGTGGCGTCGGCCGGTGCATTGGAAAATTATCATTATTTCTGTTTATATAACTTTATATTTTGTGCAAACTTAGATTATTATGTTTGAACTTTGAAAAATATGAAAAGTATTTTTAAATCGAAAGAAAAACGTTCGAAATATTCACTATTCCAAACCTAAGCTACCCCTTCCTAGATAAAAAAGGGCAAACAAATTTAATTATTTTTTTTATCACCACGTCAACGCAACGGTTTATAAAGTATTCTTGAATAGTTGTATTTAGATATTATATTTTAAATAATTTTCCTTGTTCTTTGTATTTTTTTGCTTCCGATGACGTTTAAGATTAATAGTATTAAACACATTAGAAGATTAACAGTATTAAACACATACCATCGTCCAACATATGGGTATATTTTATATCATTGAAATTTCAAGCAATGCGCGCAGACGGGCTGATGTCAATACTACAATACTTACAAGCAAATACCCCAAAATTGTATCATATTGTTATGCTTACTTGAATTGCTCTGGCTACTGTAATCGTCATTTTTTTCATTTTCTGAATCACTCGAGGGAATGACAATCTCTTCTTCTTTAGGAACTTCTATAATGATTTCATCGTCGTCCTCATCCTCTATATTTTGAGCAGGTTCGGAAATATCTTTGTGCTCTTTCTTTTTCCTATTTTCCAGTTCTAATTGGGATCTTAGGACAAAGGTTTGAAATTATTGACGTAGAATATTATATATGCATATTAATATGTGTGAAATAATAATATATCTTAATATCAATTTATTTAAAATGAAATGGAAATTAGTATTTAATGGATACCTAATAGCTCTGGCCCTAGCTTGTAATTCTAACAACTCCAAAACGCTCATAAGATTTTCCTCACCCACTGGTTCTTTTTCTGCAGAAACATTTTTATTTTTACTTTTTACTTTATTTTTATTATTTGCATCAATTTTGTCTAATTTCTCTTTTTTTACTTTTCTTGACTTTTCTTTAAGTTCTTCTTTTATTTTTTTACGTTTTTCAGATTTGTTAATTTGCCCTTCTTCATCTACAATAAGCTGTAGATAATATTTTTGTTAATTATTATATAAAACTAAAAAGTTTTATAACAAATTATGGCTTTGGCCTTGATGGTTAAAAATTCTGATGTAACTTTTTAATAAATATTGTTTTCATCGTACAATATCACTTCTGATAATATTGAATGTTACCTGAGATAATTACAAAATCGTCATCACTTATGTCGTCAAGTGATATTACATCCACAGGTTGGTCTTCATCAGTAGAACTTTCTTCATCCAAATTTTTGCCTTCAAAGATATATTTTAGCCTTTTATTTGAAATTCCTAGTAGCTCTTCTAAAAGCATGGAATTAATTTCATCTTTATCCATATTCTACAAAAATGCATGGGAACGGATGAGAATTATAGAAAGATACATAATGTACTTAATTATTTATTTAAACTATAAAAAATACAAACATCAATAGGTAATTATTAATAAATGTGTGTGGACGTGTGACTATATAGTCTATAGTACTATCATTTTTTAATAATACCTTTGTAATACCAAGGGTAATACTATCCTATACTTATTATATGTGTATGGAGTATACACGGGTATACAGGGTGTCCCAGGCTGAGCGTGCATTAGAAGTTTCTAGAGAACCACAATATCTAGATCGGAGATTTTTTGCACAACAATGTTTTACAACGAGATCTATCGATTAAAAATATTTTCAATATGGCGACACTTCCGGAAAAACCGGAAGTTGAAAGAGACTTTCTTATTTTAAATGGGTGCCCCAATTTTTTATTATTTACTTAAATTCTCTGTAAAATTTTATGAATTTTGATATTAAACACTCTATATCTAACATTAACCGTTTTTGAGAAAAAAAAATATTTAAAATTTTTGGACGAAAAAAACTACCTGTCAAAAAAATTTCTATAGCCTAAAATTCAAACTTAGTCATTACCACAGCCACTGTGACATAAAGAGAAGACATGTGGCTATCTATTTCAAAAATTAAATAGTTCAAATGTCATATAATAATGACGGTAGCTGTCATGGAATTGAGTAATGAGTGTGAGTGAAAAAATTATCATAAATCATTTTTTTCAAATGGAGACCCACTTTTTTTTATTTCACTAATGCAACAGTTTTTCAATTCGTTACTTTTTAACTATACTTGTTCCTATACCTAAAATAAATCGTTTTTAAGTTATTTAAGATTTAGTTTGAAAACGTATATTTTTCTTGATTTTATCTAGCTTCCTTTGACATTAAGTGTCAAACGGTCAGACAATTTATTTCCATCTGTCAGAAAACAAATTATTTGAATTTCGTATAGTATAAATACTGCTTGCTTAAGAATTTAAAAAGTGTATTTATAAAAATATATCTCGTATTTTCGGTCTTATGGGATATCTAATATAGTTCAGTCATTGGGGATTTTTGCTTGGAAAAAAGTCCGGAAGTTTTGCAACTTTGCAGGTTTATAGGTTTTGGGGTCCCTAACTAAAATCCATAAAATGCACATTTCCAGACTTGCCGCCGGCGCGGCGCCGCCATCTTGCCAAGATGGCGCCCAAAATCGGTATTTTGTGAATATCTCGAAAACTACGCGTTTTTCGCAAAAATGTGAGGAGAGCAAAATTAAAGAGAATAAATTTTGCTATAAAAAAGGTTTAATGAAAATTTTCGCCAAAGTCAACCCTTTAGGCACAAAATCCCTGGAAATTTTATAATTTTGCATAAAATATGATATATTATGTATAGTCGATTTTCCGAAATCAAATGTCGATTAGGGTTCACTAAAACTAGTTTTAGTTTAGTTTCTTCAATTTTGTCATAAAACAGTGGCGTATCATTATTTCGCTCATTAATTTATGAATAATTAATTTTAATTATTGAAAATGTATACTTGTTTCCACACCACACAAGAGGTAGAGTATATGGCGCGTTTATTTTAACGTGGTCTCCCCGGAGGCCTACTCCACTAGATAAATTAAAAACTTTAACTTATCTGCACAAGCCCGACGGATCTGGCTCATTGATGTCAAACTCGATCGTGTCTGCTGTGCTGGGCTCATCAGGGTGGATTCTCAATACGTTCAACTCTTCTTCTTCAGCCGCCAGAGGGATATCTACAGGCAAGTCCAACTCCTCTTCATCGGACTCGTCGAGTGACACTTCAGTGACGTTGTCACAGGATTTTCCATTGCAGTATGCACAAATAATTGAACATTTTAATCCTGCTTTTCTGCATCCGCAGTATGGAGTGTAGAGGTAAGGAGAAACAACTCCGTGCATTAAAAAATGGTCAAAAAAAGGGAAGAATTAGGATGGCGCTGCTGTAGCAAAAACCTAAAATTTAAGACATGCGCCGAACATTTTTAGAACAGCTGATTCAAAAGACATAAATATTTGACGTGAATGAAAAATACAAATTTATTTTCATGTCGCATGAAATAAATTACAGATTTTTATTCAGCAGCAATAGACTAGGATCTTTTTTTATTGCTCTCATAAGTTATTTCGCAAATGTCATTCAAGACGACGAAAACATTATTCTGATTGTTTTAGCTTAAAATTAATGTTAATTATAATTAAGAAAAAAATTATTTAAAGTAATAATTGGTGATGGGTTTAAAATAAATATAATGCAGCTTTAAAATAACTTCATACCTACATTTATTTAGTATAAAGTAAAGTCAACATGTGGTTTTATTATCGATTATTCAGAAGCAATAGACTGAGCCTCTTTTTTTTTTTTCTCATAAGTTATTTCGTAAATCTCATTCAAGATGAAAAAAAATTTAGTTTAAAATTAATGTTAATTATAATAGGGAAAACTTTATTTAAAGTTTAATTGATATGGGATTTAAATAAATATAATGCAGGTCAAAAATAACGTAACACATTTTATTTAGTATAAAAATTAAGCCAATATAATGTAATTTTATACTGTACAAGTATTTATTTACGTTTTGCCATCGTAGTTGCCATTCATTCAGAATAGTGGATTTTAAATGTTCGATAGTCGGATGGCTTAACTACCTTAATATCAACTACTTCTAGACAAGAATCGTGTGCAGTATTATCTTCTTTTTCACTCCCAGCTATTCCAACATGGCTTGCATGGCTTGGGACGTGGAATAATATAATTTTATAGCCCTTCCAGATCCTCATGTCTTCCCTTGTAGTTCACCCAATAGAATCGTTCTCGCAGCTTCCTCCCAAGTTGGTAGTTGCTATTCATTCAGAAATAGTGTATTTTAAATATATTTGGTAGTCGGATGGTTTAAGTATCGTAACAATAACTACTTTTAATAATTCTTTTTTCTCAATTCTTTTGCACTATAATTTGCATCCCACGTATTGTAATATTTTCCTTTGAATTTCGTTTCCTATTGTCCCATGGCTTGAGACGTAATGTTATAGCCCTTCAGATCCTCATGTATATCCCTTTTCCTTTGTAGTCCACCCAATAGAACCTTTCTCTTAGCTTCCTCTCAAGTTGGTAGTTTCCATTCATTAAGAATAGTGGATTTTAAACATGTTTCGTACTCGGATGGTTTAACTACTGTAACATCATAAATAAATTGTATACCAACACATAATGGCCAAACTTCAACAGACTTTAATATTCATAAACCTCATCAGAAGAAAATATTTTTTGATCCAAAGTTTTTTTTTCGTTATTAGAATAAATTACCTGGAATTTGTTAATTCATTACAACATTGAATAAAAGATGCAAAGTGTTTATACATACTATGATAGATAAATCTTCATTTAAAAATTATGTGATAGATCTGCTTGCTTGTAGGATCTAGACTGATAAACTCAATTTCTTTTATTGATATAACCAATAAAGTAGTAATGCTGAAATTTTGTTTTTGATTTGTGCAATAAGGTCCATTATTTCCATTATTTGATGCTGTTATTGCTCTACAAAATGTTGATCTCTATCAAGGGATGTTTATGTGTATAATATTACTATTTATGTGTATAACAATACTGTATGATCGAAAAAACACGGCGTCCAGTTGGCTTGGAATGACATCTCGATGACATTCTCCATATCATTTTACATATAAAATGACTGCAAACTTCATTTCATAGGCATCGCTGACGCTGTTTTTTATTCAATCAAATTGTACTTACGGGTATAATATTCATTTAATGGTTCCTGTTTTAGTTGCTGGTGTTCATATTTTGGTTTTTTATTCTGTTGTTGCTCTACAAAATGTTAATATTTATGTGTATAACATTACTCTTTCTGTGTATAATAATATATACTTATGTGTATAATATTCATTTAATGGTGCCCTTCTTGCTTGTTGCTGTTGTTGCAATTCAGAATTTAAATTAACCTGAGGCAGTAGGTAGAGCTTCATCCTCCAATATTTTCCTATGTAAATACTAAAGTGGACAGTATTTCTGATGACAATTTTATCATAAACTTTAACATCTTGTTCTTTAAAACGAAACTGCCATACCTTATCTGTAGATTTCAAAGCAATATCTAAATGCTGTTGACCATCACTATAATCTAATTCTTGTTAGAAAATCAATACCTAATATTATCCTGATGATTTTGATTTTTGACAGATTATTAAAATACAGCACTTACAGTTAACTATATTTCTTGAAAGTACCTACAATTTTATGTATTTCCTACTTTAACTTGTTTAAAAAAATGCCAACAATTTGTGCATGTCTGTCAAACTTTAAAATCATTAAAAATAAATTTTATTCAGGTTGTAACTTTATAAAAAGGATTGTAAAAATATACTTTGTAACATGTATGTCAATAATCTTACGAAAAATGTTTACTACACTTTTGATTGACTCTAATTTTTACATATAATACAAATTATACAATACTTAATTATATTATGTATTTTACAGGCTTTGCCTTTGCTCTTTATTTTTCCATCAGCTATTCAATCAACTTCGCACCACATACACTTTAACCATTGTTAAATAATAAATAAAGCACAAAATATTGATAAACAATAATTATTTTATATTCTAAAAAATAAAAAAACTTTTTTTGGGTAATGTTTGGTTATATTTATTTTTATTCTCTTATCTATGGTTACTTTTCATTTTTTAGATTTATGCGTTTTTAGCGCCACTGTGGTCATTTGGCGAACCCTTATTCTTCCCATTTTGTGACCACTTTCTCAATAAAAGTCCCATAAGAGTTATTTCTCCTTACCTCTACACTCCATAATCCGCAGCCTTTACCATAGTTGTTGGTTTTGCATTTACAGGATAAAAATGCCAACAGGGATTTTGGAGCTGGATCTTTTAACGTTCTGACCGTAATGCCTGTTTTTGTTTTCTTCCAACCCCATTCTTCGGCATCTTTGCTACAACCAGA